TTTTCCCTTGTTCTTCCCCCCTTCTTTAATGCGTAAGAGGAAGACCATTATATACATTTAGTTGACCTTACATATGTTATGTGATAAGGCAGCTCATTGCGATGCAAATGGGGTCCCACCCCTTTCCTTGCCCCCAAAAAAAAAAAAAGTTATTTTCTCTGAAATCTGAATAACAAATGTATTCCTGCCTTGACAGGAAAGAAGGGCAGGACACACAAGAGGAATTGCAAAGAAGGAACCTACGTGATGAACTGGAAGAGCGTGAGCGGAGGCATTTCTCATCAAAAAATAAATATAATGGTGAAAAGACCATCTTCAATGGTTTTCTAAATTTCACTGTATTTGTTTTAGCAAATTTTGGCTATTTTAATTGTATTTCATGGGGTTTGACAGATGACAGGGATCGTGGGAAAGGAAGCCATCTTTTGTTGGAAGGTGTTATATTGATCTCTGTATATTTATTTATAATCATAATTAGATATTTGTGCATTCTTTTTTTATGGAAGGGGGTGATAAGCTAATATGATGTATAATTTAGCTCGTGTTCAATCTTATAAGTTAATGGGATTTTGTTTTTACAGGAACTAAGAGAGAAACTGAAGATCGCATTGTTCCACGTAGTGTAGATGCAGATGATTCTGATATTGATGTCAAGAGTGATGATGAGAGGTTGGTAATCTTGTGTTTTTTTTTTTTTTTAGCATTATCACTTGCTTCCTGTTGTTAATTGTTATTTTCATGGGCATTTTGGATTTCTTTAGTACAATGTAAGTTATTCGTGGACTGCTAATGAAATTGATTGAGCTTGATTTCGTATATAAGCTTATATAAACGTAAAGATATAAAATATCTATTTGAAACTGTTTTATTTCCTTTTTTGAAATAACAGGTTATTTTTATGTATTTCTGCACTTGGTTTTGATCTTCAAATTGGCTTCCTTTATTTTGGTTTTTTGGTCAATTGAAGCGATTTATGTTGATACTTTGGATAAAAACAAGTGAACATTACACATTCTTTGTTTGTTGCATGTTTATCAATTGGATAATACAAAATCTCTTGAACTTCATAACTTCTTTGGTCAGTGATGATGACGACGAGGATGACGAGGATGACACTGAAGCTCTTTTGGCTGAGCTTGAACAAATAAAGAAGGAAAGAGCAGAGGAAAAGCTCCGCAAGGTGAGGCTGTTCTTTTCCCATTCAAGTTATGCTATTGAACCTTGCAAGACATGCTGCTGTTTTGTTACTGTGCTATAAATGAATACAGTGGACAACTATGTGGATTGAACAAGTGGCTTGGGGTTATGCAATGTCATTATCTTGAGATTTAGCAACTCGCATTTACTGTCAATTATTTCTTATGGATTTTAGTTCGAACCAAATGTATATTGTTCTTGTGCAGGAACGACAACAAAGAGAGGAAGAGTTGAAAGTAAAGGAGGCAGAGCTTCTGCGTGGAAACCCATTGCTAAATAACCCAACAACAACATCTTTTAATGTGAAAAGAAGGTGGGAAATCTGAGATTTAAACTAAAAATGAATGCATAGATTTCTTTTCTTTTGTTTTCTTTTTGTGTGTGTGTGTGTGTGTGGTTTATTGTCTTGATCTCATTTAAGTTTTGTGTGGATTTTTGTGGACTTAGGTGGGACGACGATGTTGTATTTAAGAACCAAACACGAGGTGAAACCAAGACACCCAAGCGATTCATCAATGACACCATCAGGAATGACTTCCATAGAAAGTTCCTGCAAAAATACATGAAGTAAATCATCGAGGCACCAGCCACCGTGTAGCCTGGGGCAATGGTGAAAAAAAGTCAGTGATTTACAGCGATTGTGTATTTCAATTTGTGACTCACTCTGGATGAATATAAGAATATTGATATTTGCAGAGCATCAACTCAGTTGCATCAACCTCTTGTATGCTTGGGTATTTCTCATCTTCCCTGTTTGTTTAAACTTCTGATCTGTAATTCGTACCACCCTTTGTTCATTTTTTTCTTAACGAGAAAACAATGCATCTGGTGATCAACCTTCCGTGGAGACTAATTAATTTGAAAATATATAATTGTTGTATATTTTTAGTATATTTTAGTAGTTAGTTCTTGTACTCTTTTTTATATTTTTTTGGAATTCTTGGTCTTCTATTTTTCATTTGTTTGTAACGATAGTCTTTATTGTCATTAATAGGGTTTACTTTATCTTTCTATGCTAGCTGTAATGTCTTTTTTGTTCTTAAAATTTTGCCTGTAGCTTGTTTAAGGATTTGGATTTAATTTTTTTTCCTTCTATTTATTTTTTATACAAATAATTATAATTTCAGTAAGTCAGCATGAGAAATAATGGAGTTTATGTTCTCGTTAGTCACTGTTAAGTCTTTAAGATTATATTTAAAAATGGAGATTAATGTTGCATATGGTTGAAATTAAAGGGAATAGGAGTAAGAATAACAATATAAAGACTAATATCAAAATATGCTAATAAGAGTCAATAATTATCTTTTTCTTATTAATTTTCTCCTCTTCAATTCTTGTTTTCCCTATGATGGTCAATATAAGGCTCGAGTCTACGGTTCATGATGCACTTCTCAGTTTGGTGGGAACATGCCGATCGACCCTGTAAATCGCCTTTCTATATAAAAGGTATTTGAGGCTAATTGTGAGAACTCATCCTGCTTATAATTGGCAATTCAAAATTTAATTTTTGCATAGAAGTTAAAAACATAAAAAAGAATTTACAAGTTTGATCTATTGAGAGAGGCGAGTCTTTTATAACTTGAAAAATTAATATTTGAATAGTTGATAAATGAGGTGTCTTCATTTAATACCAGTCGTATCTTAAAAAAAAATTGTTTTCAATATGAAAATATTCATAAACAAGCTAAAAAAAGCACTTTGGTGTGCCTTTATAGAGTTACTGGTATTCTTTTAAGCCAACAATTTAATCTTAAAAATTTGGTTATGCCCAGCTATGTTTATTTTTTTTGTCATTTTTAAGTCTAATTTAATCTAATTGAAATATTGTAAAATAGATTTATGTTCTAGGGAAGATCCAACTCCATAAACACACCAAAACTTGTACATTGATTATATTAATAATCCATAAATAATCAATTATCAATGCCAATTCATAACAAATATAAAAAAAAAATTACTAAGTTATATTGACAAAAATAAATAGTATTTTACATAATTATGGTGAGTGCGATGACAAGATAAACCTTTTTCCTTATTTTTTTTTAAACAAGTGTACTACTGTTTACTCGCAGTTCATGTTGTTTATATTCTACTCTTCTTTTGTTTAAGTGTAAATAGATTTAAGTAAATGTGAGAAGTTGCATATTAAATAAAGTTGAATTTACTAATATATAATAAAAAAAAATTTATAAGACCAAGTTTTAAAATTTTAAATTAAGACATAACATTCTTTTATTTCTGTTGTCTGTCTCTTTTCTCCATTCATTTTTCGAGGCGATCGCTCATCATTTATAACATATTAATGTAAATGATGTTTGCATACTTAGATGTATTATAAAAGCATTAAATATCAAACACTATATTCTAATTAAGAAGACAAACACACGGGGGATCCATGGGGAATTTCGTGTTTCAAAACTCAAGAGTAACAACAAAATAGAAGGGGTCTCACTTTCAGATAGGAACGAATTTTTGTGGCGTGTAAGAACAATTTGGTGGGTCCCTCTTGTGGAATAAAAATATATATGTGGTGAGTGGAGTATAAATACAAAAATATTATTCATCCCATGCTGGGAAGGGTGGGACCACAATCTGTAGTGGATGCCACCAATCAAATGACCGTTTGAGCCAACACGTAGATCAATTATTTGCAAGAATATAGGCGATAAATTAAAATATCGTCGCATTATACTACTCCCTCCGTCCAATTTATAATTTATAAGAAAAATTTGGAGATATTTAGTTAACTGAAAATATAAAATAATTCAATAAAAATAAAGTTTTATTGATAATTTTTTTTAATAGTACGTAAGGAGACAATTGAAATGATGATAATGTATATATGTAAAATTATATTAAATGAATGAAATTTTTAAAAGTTTGTATTTTTGTTTGAAAAAATAAATTTGTAAAGTCTTTGAAATTTATTTGTATATATAATCTTGTCTCATTGTCTTATAATTTGATATCTGGGTCATAATTAAGAATCCCATCTCAGATTTGTTAATTACGTTTCAAAGTGGATTACAAACCATCAAATTAGTGTTCCATGCAATTTCTATTATAAAGTACCTCTACTTAACTCAGTAAAATTAAGAAGAGTTGATTATGTCATTAACTTTGTTTGAAAGTAGAATAAACTTTTAATTTTACTTCTATTTAAATAAAAGTTTTTTAACTTTACATTACATTTCTTTTATAGATTATAAGTTTAAACTTTAAATAAAAGTAATAGTTGAAAAAAACATAATTAATAACCCAACCAATACCTTATGTTAAAGATTGAAAATTCTTTTTATGAGATGTCCCAATTACAATTAGTCTCAGATACGTTAGTCCACTGTGTGGCACCTTAATAATAAAATTACCTAATTTTGACCCTTTAGCCTCCAAATTCAATAAAACGCACTCTGGGTTCACTACTTGATTGAATGACTCAATGAAGAATAAAAAATTAAAGTACGACACAAAGAAAATCTCAAAAAAGACACAGTAACAAGGTTGAAATTTGGTGCTGCCAGAAATCACGAGGCAAGATATAGGTTCGTAGCTAGCTAGGTTGCAATGTGATATATATATATATATATATATATCCCAGAAGGTAATGACCCACATGTGTAATCTTTTTGCGCAAATGCCAGCCTATCAAAGAAAGATTAGCCATATATTTAACTAAAAAGCGATAAAAGTAACCGTTGGAATGGCTAATCTTCTATGACATAAAATTGGAACATATACCTACAACCATGTGTGTGTGTGTGTAACTGTCACAGTGTGTCTCTTTCTTCTTCTTGTATTGTACTGTTACTCTCTCGTCGAATGTATATATAATATACATCTCATACGCTCTCTACTAAATCTGATCCTTATGGCTTTTCCTTGGCCTCTCTCCTTCTCTGTTCAACTGCTCTTTGTTTACACTTTCTCATTGCATGCACTATCTGCAACGGTCACACAACGGGTGGGACCCACCGGTAATCGTGTGATCACCGTCGATGTCAACGGAGGAGGGAACTTCCGGTCGGTCCAAGCCGCCGTTGATGCTGTCCCAGACAACAATAGAGTGAACGTCACTATTCAAATCAGCGCCGGATACTACATGTAATATATATTTATATATATATATATAAAACGCACAGTTAAGTTGGTTACTAGTATGGTTCTGATCTTCTTCTGGGTGAGTGTTGATTTGCAGAGAGAAAGTGGTCGTGCCGGCGACCAAGCCGTACATTACGTTTCAAGGAGCTGGGAGGGAGAAGACGGTGATAGAATGGCATGATCGAGCCAGTGATCTCGGACCCAGTGGACAACAATTACGTACTTACAGAACAGCTTCTGTGACTGTTTTTGCCAACTTTTTCTCTGCGAGGAACATCAGCTTCAAGGTACGCACTTAAACCATTCAGTGTCATATGTATACATATCAGTGACTTCACGTAGATAATTATAGTATACGGATTCTCTTCTTGAATATGGTTTAACAGTTTAACTAGTGGACGACAATCCAAGTGAGTTCATATTTGAAGAAACATCGTAAGTACGTCATGCATTAACTATCTCTCCTCTTGTACAAGATCCTAGGATCTTGTTGAGTATTGGCTCCTGGTTTGAAGGCCTCTTTAGGTGGACCGAGCTAACTTGGAGAGCCAGAAACCATGCATATACTTGGAAACAGTAGGAATTTAGAGTCCAAAAACATACATCTAGTGACGATAAACGTAGGAATCGGGTTACAATTACTAATCTCGGATAAGTTGCATTGTAGATACAACCTTAGAGACAGGGGGTGAGGGAAGCAGAGGGAGTATTTTCTATTTTCTTTAACGGGAGAATAACATTCAAAGCCCTCACAAGAGAATTTATTACAATAAATTCATTAGTTTTTGCATCACATATTGTCTTATAAAAATACGTTTATATTGTTGCTAAAAGCTAAACTTTGTTAAATTTTTAAGAAAATCTTAAAAAAAGTACAAGTTAAAATTTGGCTTTTACCTTTAATATATATGCGTTTAAAAAAAAACAATATTCGGTACAAAATTAAATGGCCCTTACTACAATTTTTTTTTTTTTTTGAGATGGTGTTAAATGTCATTCTCCCTTCTTTAATTATATGTCAACATTGAAAACCCCACACCCCATATATTACAATCATGATATTTAAGTAGTTACAATAACTGCTTGGTAAAACTAATATCCTGATTATTTAATTAAATGAATAATTATTTAATCCCAATGTGAGCCTCTTCTCACTTCACCCAATTCATCAAAGGTAATTGAACAAAGACAATAATTCTTGTTCAGATCTATTACTACTCATCAGTGTTAATTTTAGGACAAAGTTTTGATTCTGAATATATAGGTAAAAATGTGGTGGTTAATTTTTTTTCTCTTCAACTTTATCCCCCTTGATTGCAACAAGTTGTTGGCATAATCTTTAATTTCCATACACCACTTCATTATAGACATTATTCCAGTGAAGACCAAATTGAAAAGTTATATGTACTATTATGAGAGTTCAAATATCAACTATCATCCTATAAAATCATGAAATTAATTAATTTTACCTTATATATAATTAAAATTGAAAGAGTATAACGTGATATTGATACGTAGAAGCATAGTAGCTAGAGGTGTTGTGAAGTTGAAGTGGATTCATCAGTTTTGGGGCGGCGTTGTGGCTGCAGAATACAGCGCCGGCACCGATGCCGGGAATGGAGGGGTGGCAAGCGGCGTCTTTAGGATATCAGGGGACAAAGCGTACATGTTGGGATGTGGTTCTACGGAGCACAAGACACTCTCTGCGACGATGCTGGACGACATTACTTCAAGGATTGTTACATCGAAGGTTCCATTGATTTCATCTTTGGAAA